TGCAACCATGTCCAATAAGACTTTTCCCTTGCCAGCCAGATCTCATAGCACAGATTCTGATTGATTAACACCTGACTTCACAGCACACAAGATTAAAAACACTCCTTTAAAATAAAACACGCTTCTGCAGAAAGAAGATCTGCTCCTGGTCACATAGGCTTCTGAAGATACTCTGGAGCCAGGCTGGTTGCTTGGGTATTTAGCTGCACACAAAGGCAAGCTGTAGTAAAATGACAATTCCATTCAATGCTAGCAACTCTGTTCCCTCTCTTCCCACACTGAAGAATATTTCCATGCTGGAGAGTCTTCATTCTCCCCAGTTCTGGACCACAATATCTGGGAAGGAAATCCTGCTGAATTCACCAAGCTCTCGTTACTGTTTACAGTCTTCTCTTACATCAGCTTGCAAATCAGTTCCTCTTAAGTGGCCATTTCAGTCTTGCCATAATCCATGTAAAGGACCCAATACTGGAGCATCTCTTTTCTTGAATGATAAAGATATTTCCTCCTGCCTATGCCAATCCAAACATGGACTCTTTCTTTTCTTCCTCTCTCCATAAAGCTAGGGTGATTCACAAAATCTTCAGAGAAATAGGATTATACACAGTTTATATTACATGGGGAGAAGGGGGAAGATCAGATGAATGAGCATGAAGGAGCTTTCTCCTGTGTCCTTTAGAGAAGAATCTGAAAACTGGGACTGGTTTCTATGCACAGTAGGTGTCTGCCTTGACCACCTGACAATACATCGTCATTGCAAATGTCAGTCCAAGAATCTAAAAAAAACCCAAAAAACCAAATCAAAACATGATGAAGTACAAAGAGAAAACCCCAACTTAGAACAGCATTATTTATATTACATATCAGATACTCAAAAGTTCAGAAATGCCATTAATTAAGGTGACTTAGGCCATAGATAGAAGTTATACTGTATCACATGCGCGCGCGCACACACACACACACGCACTCACATGCACGCACACGCGCTGAACTAGGAACCTCTCTGTAGTACCGTATGTAATGTGTTCACAGTTACGGGAGGAAGGGAGCATACATGACAGTTATTCAGTGCTGCCTGGGAGCTCAGCATGCTCAACGATCCATGGGGGGAGGCAGTGGGCTGTTCTTGACCACTCCGGGATCTACAGTTCTGCTCATCCCCTGCTGCCACGGAAGTGGTGACAGAGACCACTGCTGCCTCCATAGAGGCAGGTACCACTGTTCACCAGTCACTGACCACCTGCCCAGTCCCCCTTCCCCAAGGAGAGCAGGCAGGCTGTCAGTGATGTGGGGCAGCACCACACTCACCCCACTCTTTGTCTTCTTGGGCGTCACCATTGCCACAACCTTCCTTCTCCCCCACACCCTCAGTACACATGCATTATGATACAGTCTTTAATTACATGATCGCATATTACAGTTCTCACAGGCTTCTGTCCTTATTCTGCTCCCAGGTCCCCTTTGCCACAATCCTCATTACTCAGCATTCAAGAGAAGCAGTGAGGGTACAGGAGAGAGGCTGCCAAAGCAGCTCCCTTGAGCAGAATTGAATTTACTTTACAGCAGCATCATTCTCCTGCTCCCCCAGCAGTTTCAGGTTGGTATTTGCCTCTCAGAGTGATAGGTACTGAGGCAATGTTTTTATCCTCAAACTTAAGGACCACACATTATTTTCCATGTAATGTTATCAATGCAGCTTCATGAACAGATCATGGGAAAAGACTGCAAACAGTCACTAGGGACCATCTGTGCACAGCTGGCAACATGAAAAATGCACATAGATACTCCCTGTAGGTCTGAGCAAAGCACTGAGATTACTCAAGAGGCTTGCCAATAGAAGCACTGTATGGTCAGCTGGATGTGTCTCTGCACTGGGAGTCAGGGGAACTGAATTCTTCTGCTAGGGATGTGCTGTGCTGCCTTGGATAACTGACTTCATCTCTTTTTCTGCATTACCCCTCAGTAAAATGGGGATGTGATAATCACTTTCCTTTGTTAAGCACTTTGAAAAAAGAGCTAAGTGCTATTGTCTTTTCTTCCCTAACTGAGCTGTAATCATTTGCTGTGGGTTATTGTTTAGGTAAATGTTTATTGTTTAAGACTTCTTCATACAGTATTTTAAAAATGATTAATTTGGCCATTTAAAAACTATATAGTACCCTGCCTAAATGGTGATTCACAACAAAGATTGGGTTTTTTTCATGGTGCTTGAACAATAGATAGGGTAACTTTATGTTTTTTGGCTCTATGGGAACAAACTTGCATAATATTTAGGTTAAATGCAATACGGCTCTTCATCTCTCTACCATCCATAATGAACTAAAACCACAGGTTTGGGTTTGTCTTTTAATACCAAGAGCCTTCTGTTGAATGAGGCACCCCTTAATAACCATTAGAGACCACTGGCCTTTTCCTGGCACCGAGAAAATGAATACTTAGGAGGGTGGCTGTACGACAGAATCCCAAAAGTTTAATTAATTTGTGCATTTGTCTAGACGAAGGCCCTAGGGTGTCCCAACTGAGAAGATTCTTGTTCTGCGTATGGTACATGTCCTTTTATTTAATATTTAAAAGGTTGCTTTTCATGAGACTCCCACTTTAAGCGTCCTAGCCTTAAATAAAAAAAAGGCTTTCATGTAATTATGGCTTTATCCAAATCACACTGACATAAATGGAGACAGTCCCATCAACTCTCAATGGATCGAGCATAGTTTCATAGTTTCTAGGGTCGGAAGGGACCTGAGCAGATCATCTAGTCCGACCCCCTGCCATGGCAGGAAAGAGTACTGGGGTCATTTCGTCATCTATTAGGTTCAGTCACAAAGCACATCTGGAAACAGCCCCTTGGCAAAAGCTTTTGAGTTCTGAAGCGCTTTCTGTGCATTTCATAACATTTACTAGAAATACAAATAGACTTTTCAAAAATGGTCTAAAATTGTTTCCTAATGGAAAAAGAGTCATTAAAATTCATCAAATGTAGAAAATGAGCTTTTAAATACTTTAACTATGATCAGTGTCTTTTGGGGGGATGCTCTAATGGTCCACAGGATTTCTAATATATCTTTTAAAGACTCCCTAAATGCTACTTTTTTTGCACAACATTCACCCTCTTAAGTGTAGTAATAGCCTAGATAGGGAGTCTCAAACACTCTCTACCATGCTATTTCTTGTACTTATCTGCTCTCTAAACTTCTCCCACTAAGATCATATCTGCTTAGTTTACTAAGTAAATGCCCCCCCCTTCCCATTCCCAGGTTTCCAATCTAGCAAATCATTAAGTATCTGCAAACTGGGACCATAAACTGCCGATCCCATACAAAATTTAAAAAGCTATTTTGTCTACTCTATCAGCAGACCATCCATGAGCCAAGTTCTGATTCTAGCCTCTCTCTCAGGCTGGTGCTGATGTACTTTATGGCATACAAAACCGCAACTTAGTCTGCCATAACTGTACGGTTAATTTAGAAAAATAAGACTTTTGGTTCACATGCTGAATGAGGTGTAGAAGGAGAAACTAAATCTATGTCTATGCTGCAATTGGGGTGTGATTGCAGCTCATTAAGATAGACCTGAGATATCTTCAATCCAGCTAGGCTGGACACTAACACTGTGGCATCATGAGCTTTAGTGCAGTCTACGTGAGCCTACTTGGGATCCTGGATACATACTTGGAAGCTAAAACCCATGCTGCTGCAGCTTTGCTACTATTGGTCCTATTAAATGGCACATTTGTACAAGCTCCCATGATAACTTGAGCCACAGTAAGGGTGGCCAACCAGCAATAGAGGTGCCACAAGTGGTATGGGCAGCCTCTGTGTGGGACATGCAGATGACTGGGCAAGAGACAGGCAGGACAGTGGCAAATATGGCAGGGAGCAGAAAGCAGAGCATCAGATCAGGCAGAGATCAGAGTAGCACTCAGGGAGGATGCAGGGCTAATTTGTGGCATATCTGCTGAAAAGATTAGCCGCCACTGAGCTACGGTATAGGCTTCAATACAGGCCACCATATTTCTGTTTACTTATAGCTGCTCCTCCAAACAAAATCACATTTAAAATACAAATGCAGGCCCTAATCCTGCAACTCCTCCCTCCTCCTAAAAAATACACTTCATCTGAAATTAAGTGCATGATAGGGATTTGTGGGACTAGAGCCTTAATTCAAATGCATCCAGTTTGAACCTTCCCTTGTGTCAGCCTCTCCCTCCCCCAAAACTAAACCTATTATTGTGCTAGGACAGAAGCAGAAGATGAAACCAACCTGCCTAATTTTACCAGCTATATTGAGTGACAAAGAAAAGTAAATATTGTATTAATTAAATAAATATGCCAATTAGTGCATTAGCTAAAGGGAACTGCATGTGAAATACTCAGAGCTGTTACACATCCTGTATGCAGTTCTTTTATTATGACAATGTGATTCTGATTTCTAGGTTATAATAAAAAGCTAGAGAGGTTTAATAGAGCTTCATGTAAAATGTGGAAATTATTAAAATAGGCTGGAAAGAAATATTTCAGGCACGAGGTTCTCTTCCTGCCCTTAGTAATCTAACTGGCATTACCCAGGCAAAGAAATAAAAATCAGAGAGTACCTGAACCAAAGCTGTGCACAATCCAAAGATCCCCACAGCAAGCAGGTTTTCCTGGAGCCATACTTTTACCGTTTCATAACAAGGCTAGGAAAAAGAGAGCATTGCATTAGCTATAAACGTAGGACTCCCGTCCACCGGGAATACAAAGACACAGATAGGAATGAGACAGGTCAAACCAAGCTGTTAAAAAGCCTGGACTGCCATTTCAGCATCGTAACAAACGCGGTGTGTTCCTGGATGGAGCCTCTGCAGTGTTGAATTGATTGCAATGACACAGAAGGCCGGGCAATTCAGAAGGCCATATAAAAAAGTGCTGCTCTGTAAAAGTGCAACTCCAGTCCATAAAGTGACCACATGCAAATATCTGGCATTTTTATTGCCATGTAGAAGCTAAGCATCAACATTTTGGAACTTAAAGGAGAAAATTTTACTCTTTACCTGGGAATATGGGAAAAGGTGAAAAGACTGAATTGTTGTAGTATAAGAAAAACAGTTAAGTATCTCCATGATGAGATGTCTTCACTTCTTCACAGACCAAACATTCAGTTACTATTAGGCTTTTAGAAAGGTGGCAGGGAAAATGCTATATCACAGTTGAATTTTATTTGGGGATTTATAGTTTAAAATTGGCCCTAAAATCTTTCCCAGGGTTAAGACTTTTTGGTGAGATGGTTTCTTCTCAAGTAGAGAAAAGATTCCTTTAGCTATACTGCTTTGTTAGACCCATGGTTCTCAACCTATTTAGATCAAGGTTCCTCTTGGAAAATGCTAGCTCTTAACTTCCACTCATTTCTGGACGACAGAAAAATAACAGAGCAATTTTTTTGTTGCAAAAAACTCAAGACCACGACAGGTCAGAATGCTTGTGACACTGTGGATTCCTCTTTGAAATCTCAGGGTTTATGTGATGAATCATGCACTGGTGTTTGCACCCCTAGTATTGTGTAGCATCCTGCAGCACCCTTAAAAGGATATCAAAGCACCCCAGGGAGATATGGCACCCTGGTTGAGACTCACCGAATTAGACCTAAATTATGCAAGGCACTTAAGTAAAATGGTAGTCCCTCCCACACTTGATTGGGCACATCTCTGTCTCTCTTTCTCTCTCCTGGTTTACCTTGAAGTACAGTTCTGTTTCTACCCCACTGCCATAACCTGTTAGTAAACAACTCTCCAAGATTTGTCATCAGCAGCCAGAAGAGCAGGGTTGTGGGCTCCTGACAGTCAGGACCATGTCAACTATGTTTAGAGCTGGAATATGGGCACTGAGTGATATCTTCAAAAATCAGCAAGCATAAATTCCACTTAAAGTTACCTGAGAGCACAAATGCCATCTGGGTATGTGCTTTTAAACAATGTCTTTCTGCAGAAGGAGGCTACAAGAGGAAATGCTCCATGGCATAGGCATCTATGCACCATCAGAATTCTGCAGTGCAAATGCATCCTCCAAGAGCTTCTCCCCGCTTCCTGTATTCCCTGGAGCCTCCTCAGCCACCACTCTCTACAAACCCTGCTGACTGGCCGTTTACATGACACAGAAAGTGATTTAGTACATATGGCTGGTTTGTAGAAGGGGAAGTCCTGAGGCCTTCCTCATGGCTTTCACCAAAGTGACTTACACTCACTCTTTGCCAGCCCCACAGCTGAGAGACCATGCATCTGTTACATGTTCAGCCTGTTGGTTTTTCAATATGTATAAAGAAAAAAGTATATATCTGCTGCCGTGACTAAAGAGTTTAGCCCTGTTAGCCTGTATACCCATGGTACTCCAATAAAAGAAAAAGCCATGCTTGTGAAAGTTCACTGAAAGTGACCTGCAAGATGGGTTTTAGATCTACAACTTAAACTGTCCAAACTCCCTTTTTCTTCCTCAGTTGCTACCCCTGCCTATGGCCTTCATAAGAGCTACCTGCAATAGGAGAAAAGTCCCAAGACTTGTTCAGAAGAAGGGTAGGGTCTAGCTAAATTCCCAGGAAAGAGCTTAATAGGGGTCTAGAGTAGAGGAAGAAGCAAGGAGAAGTTATTCCATGAAGGTTTCAGCTTCATTAAAGGGAATTGCTGGTGTTCACTCCTTTCTGTTCCCGGAAGTCGGTGCTGGGTTCTGAAATGCTGCGCCTGATATAAAGCCCACCATAAGCTGTTCTAAAATTTTGAAAAGGGGGATGCAGATGCTGGGCTGTTGTATATGTGATGGTGTATCATCACATATAAAACAACACATATATTTGTCCACTTAAATATAAACTAGAAGCTTTACTAATATGCAAGGCCTATGGCTGCATTAGTCAATTTAAGATTGAAACAAAAACAAATTTCTCTCCTTAGACCAAGTTAAAAACAATATGCAGATCTGTGAAACAGGAGCTTCATTATCGGGAGCAGCTAACAAACAGCTGAACTGCAGAACAAATGATAGCTTGATTGTGATATATCAAGACCAGTAAAAACAAGAGAGAGTCATTAAGACCCATGGAAAAAAAGAGATGAGAAGGGATCAGGTAGATTATAATGAACCATGAAGTCAATTGACTACTTTAGCACTGCCCGACTACAAATGGTGCTGCCACTGCCAGGCAGTTGGTTTTAAATTCTGGGTGGAACAGGAATCAAAGGTGGATGGGTACAAATACACCAATGCACCCCCTGGATCCACCACTTGAAGGCAGTAGAAAGTCTTGTTGACTTTAATGGGCCTAAAATGAGGGCCCCTGTTAAGATTACATGGCAGGAGCTATTGCAGTCATCATGCCTAGGGACTGTCCATACCATGCAAACCTGTTCCTATTGGATACTGCACTAGGGCCTGCATACTCATTAAGGTCTGTGGTTTGCCTGTGTCCTGGTACACCTCTGTAGGTGTGACACTCAACTGAAAGGCATTATCCTGTTCCTAGTCATCTTATGCCCCTGTTCACAAGACCAGTAAGGCATGTGTCTGGACTGGTACACCCAAGCTCGAGAGCTCAGTTCACTTGCATAAGAAGCCTCAGGCCCCTGGAAAACACTGTTTGAGATGCTGGTTTCATCACATCACAAGATGATCTTATGGCCCTTGGTTGCACTCTGAGGTCCTTTTATTATTGACAAGTTTTTGGAATTACAACTCATATATGTCTCTGGTCAGTCCCTTTTCCATCCTTATTTCTATGTCAGTTGAGTTAAAACAAGGGTTCAGCAATTGTCCTTGATGCTGACAGAGAAAGTTACTCACAGCTTTCCACCAGGTCCCTGGAGAATGAAGTCCACAGTTCTCACTAAATTCCAGGCAGCATGAGTCTGGCACCCGTGTAGTATTGTACACTTCAAACCAGTCAGTGTAGTTCGAAACCCCACAGCATCTGAACTGGAAGAGTAAAAAGCCAGGTTGACATTGTGCGCATGCCCCAGGGTTTAAAGACAAGAACATCTTTAATTAAATAATACCACATGTTTACGTAGAGGAAGTGGAAGAAGAACCTCTCACACACCTTGCTAGGTACAAACAATAGGTTTCTTCCTACTGCATCATTTTGCTTTGGGATTAGGCTAATAGGCAGCTATGTCCTTGCCATTACCTACATGAAAACCTCTCATTGTTTTCTGCCCTCTTGCCTTTTATCCTTTGCTGCTGGGAGTCATGAGTTCAAGATACCTGTCTCTTAGATGCAGCTTGAGATGCCAAGTGGTGAGGAGACTGCATTCTGTACTGACGGTTGATGGCAGGTAGAGTCACAATTGGACACCATGGGCATTTATGCACATACATTTTTGTGCAGGGACGTGCCAGAGATCTGGCGGGTCAGAGCAGACTCTATTAATTGAGTCTGTTCTGCATGTGAGCTGACATGCACTGTGCTGGGGGGAGTGGAGTTGTATAAGTGGTGAAATGTGCATCAGCACACAGAAAATGGCAGCGGTGTGCTTTTGAACAAAAGCACCTCTGATGTGTTTTAGTTCAAAAGCGCACCACCGCCACCATTTTCGCAGCACTGACATGCATTTCACTACTTATACAAGTGCATGTGTACAACTGCCCCAAGTTACTGAAGCAAATGTCTTCCTGTGTTAGTCATTAATCAGCTTTAAAAGTCTTTTATGAGTAGAGAGAGGTTATCCAGGTTAGTCAGAAGTCATCAGTTTTTAATAGATTCTGCTTCAGTGACATAAGACTTGTGGGTGAGTGTGACTTCATTTAGTGGCATCAAACTGTAACATTACTGAAGAAATCAGGTCCGAGAAGAAGGGGAAAATAAACTTTAACTGAAGAACAAAGATGTTTAGGCCAACAACAGGGCATGGACCACAAGCTAGGCTGTTGCCTTTTAAAGTATATTCCTCTCTGAACCAGTTAGTCTTTTGAAGATGCTACCCTGCCCTGCTTTCTACCCCGGAGTCTTTGTTCGTCAGTTGAAGTTTATTTTTCCCTTCTTCTTAGGCTTCCTTTCTTCAGTAATGTCACAGCTGGATGCCACTAAATGAAGCCATGTGCACAGGTCTCTGATATCACTGAAGCAGAATGAATGAAAGCTGAAGCTCAGAATGAATGAGAAATTGATGCCACAATGAAAGGTTCATTACGTTTAGGTAATGAGATGACAGTAAAGACAATGTATAAAGTTTAACAGTAGGAACGGCTCTTAGCTACTTTTCCCCTCTGAGGCTTAGTACCTTCCTGGGCCACACCAGTTATAAGCTAAGGCTCACTTGCATTTATTGCCCATTGATCACCTCCTGTGCTAAGTCCATAGCTGTGGTGTCTGTTTTTAAGTTGAGTGCCTATGAATAAAACATTCATTCTGTCCTGGAAGAGCACACACCAACTGCAGAGGTTTCCTCAACCTGACAAAGGGTTTTTAAACTTGCTAAAAAAAAACAACTTTCCAACTATTTAAGTTGGTCCAATAAAAGATATCAGACTCACCCAAAGAACCTTGTCTGCCTATGTCCTTAGACCAATGTGGCTACAACCTACACCCCTGTATGAATAAAACAAAATACCCTGCACTCATTCACAAACATTACTCCCTAGCAAGTACAGGCTGCAATACTACAATCTAACAATGACAATACTCAGCACTTTCCATTTTTCAAAGCTCTGTACAAAGAGCTGCTAATCAGTCTATGCCCAAGGTTTTAATTTTCAGGCTGATTTCATATAGGACCTTATACTGGCCATTTTTTTTTTTTTGCAGTGTGTACAGGATATTCATATGGTTTGTATCAAATTCATAGTCACCGAGGTGTCTGCATGATCATAAGCAATGACAGATCCTGCTTCTCACTTGGGAGTGCAAGGGGACTCTCCCCTTTAGGTATAATAGTATTAGGGCTTTTCAGGACTGTGACAGAGGTACCTCTGTATGGGTCTTAAAACCCGCACTTGAGAGATCTGCCATTCCAAACCAACAGAGGGCAGAGGTGTCACATAGTAACCTGAACATTACAAGATTCATTTTCAGAAACTCATAATCAATGCAATATTTCACCATTCTTACAACATCGAATATTCTTCCCCTTAGGAAAAGGAATCAGAAACACTGTTAATGGCAGTTTACCCTTCAAGGATCTTACTCAAAATTATATGATTTTTGGCCAGTGCTGGAAAACCTTAGCTTGAAATGTGAGCTTAGAAAAGAGCCTTTTCCCCCAAAAATGGACCTTACATGTTTCTGCTCCTTTTTTCCTTTGGTACTCATGTTTGTCTTTTTCTTTAGTAGTTTTTCATTATACTTATATTGCCTGGCTTATATTAGAAACTGAAGGACTTTTTTTTTTTTTATAGCCCCTAGGGATAAGAGAACTAGAGGGACTGGTTTACAATGCTATAAAACAAGTAATTGAATGAAGAAGGGATTTTTAATTGGGTGGCCTAAAACTGTCTAATTTTTTTAAAACTATTTGACTCAAATATCGGAGCAATACATGGGCAAGGGAACGTTTCTGCTAAAGATTTAAATGAATCTTTTCCTATTTAAGTTGATGGCTAAGTAAACTCCAAACATAGTTCTCTGGTTTTACAGGGACTTTCAGCAAAAAGGGAAGACAAGTCATGCTAGTCTATCATTTAACTTGAAAGCTTCCTTTCTATTTTTTTCCCCAAATCCTAAAGAAATCGAGGGAAACTGTCCTGCCATATTCCTGTGCCAAAGAGAGGGAGGGGCTACGTAATCAAGAACTCCAAGCACTGTTGTAGCTATGATGCATTTGGGGAAAGAGATCATCGAAATGGAGGACTTCCTTTCTTCTGGCAAGGGAGATGGGCACTAGGTAAAGAGCAACATGTTTTAGCTGTTGAAGGAAAGAAATACAAGGAACAGGAGCCCTAGCTTTCTAGATGGGAAAAGAATAGACAATTGGAAAGGCCTATTGCTTATAATATGGTACCACCTAGAAGCCCTAATTATGGATATGAGATGAGAGACTGGACACTAGTTTTAACTGTGATGCTGGAGAGGAAAGGGCATATCTTACAAAAGTTATGAAGAAACAACCTGGACAACACAGACAGAATACGAGATTCTAGAAAGAGGTCCTTGCCATAGATGACAGACATTATGCACATGAGTGAGAGGCAATATGGAAACAGCCACTGTAACTGAAAGGAGGCAGGGGACTGGGGCTTGGGGAAGATGTTGAACAGCTCCACTGGCCATGTTGAGCTTGAAGTGATAGCTATACATCCATGAGAAGATGTCAGAGAGACAGGCTGAGCAGAGGCATAGGCATAACAAGCAGAGTTGGCACACTGGGCAAACACTTCAGGACAGCGGGAAGGTGAAAAAACAGGTTTCAAGAGCAGGGAGGGGGAGTTTTACCCATGCCAGAAACTCCGTAACAGTCCCCTGTTCAGGAAGGAATGAGAATGGGCATGAAGGAGATGGAGGGATGGGATGGGGCATCACTGGGTTAAGTGAAGGGATTAGAGGAGAGCAAACAGGAACTTCTGATGAAGGAACACGTTGAAGGAGAGGAAGGGAAAGAGGAAGAGGAAGGGGGGCAATTTCATTTAGTTGCTTTCTCTTGGAAGAAATCTGTGAGCAACTGTGTGAAATAAGCAATGGAGGCAGGCAAAGTGGGAAAGTTCAAGGAGTAAATCAAAGATAGTGAAAAGGGCAACTGGGACTGGGTACATGGGATTCAATTAACTTGAAGTGGTATTTATAACCAGGGAGATGGCAGAACTGAATGAGAGGAAAACAAGTTTGAAGTGAAGAAAATCAGCCTGATCATGGGATTCTCACCATAGAGAATATAGCATGAGAACAGGAGCTGAGAAGGGAGGTGCTGGAGGGCACCCAGGGTTGGAAGCTAGTAGAGCAGGCCTCGCTAAAGGGCAAAAGAATCAAGGATAGAGGAATGAAACAGTGGGAGACACGACAGCCGCCCCAGTGAAAGAAAAGAAGTGGTGAGAAGTCATCAGTGTTGGTGGAACAGAAGTCATGGCTAGACTGAGGGACAGGGAGCCAAGGAGCAGGGGAAGTTAGAAACAGATTAACCAGAAAGAGCAATGCTTGGTGAAGACCAGGGGTGATCAGGTATAGGGTAGTGTGGCAAGTCAAACAAGGGCTGCAGGTCAAACGAAGACAGTGAAGGCAAGACAATGTGTAGGGAAAGGGCAGACTATCAGCACAGAAATTGCGAAGAGGTTGTGGTGGAAGTCTAAAAGGCCAGTGAAAGGAAGGGTCTGGAGTCCTAAGGAGAGGTAGGTTCCATGCTGTAATTTTCAGATTCATCTGAAAAGGAGGCTAATTTTCAGGAAAAAAGTCCAAGCATGTTCAGCTACCTATATGTTGGCATCTGTGTCCAGGTAACATGCATTGTCCACTGGCAGAAACTCAGGGCCTGCATAGATGATACTTTGTGCTTATTTGCAGCAGATCTGTAAGGAACCAGAATGGAAGGAATCCAGGGCTAGTTGCATGCAGTAGGTGCTGTCTTAGGACAGGAGTGCTCAACCCCCTGCCTGTGGGCCAAACCTAGCCTGCAGAACCATGGCATCCAGCCCACGGGGCTCCCCATAGGACGGGAAATTTAGCAGGAGGGAGCGGTGGCAATCGATACTGTCAGCCAGGGCTGTTCCGGGGGGAGCAAATTGGGGTGACCGCCCCAGACCCCATGCTTTGTGGGGGGAGCCAAGCAGAGTAGTCCGGTGACTCTGCACTGCCGCTGGCTTCATGTCTGGCCCCACACAGACTGATTTGCCCTGGACCCTGCTTGGGTCGTCTCTGCTGCCAACCTTTCTCGGCTGCCAAATTACCAAGCCCCATGTGGGCAGACTGAGGCCAGGCCATGCCCTTTTTCCCCACACAGCCAGACTGAGGCTGGGCTATGCTCCTTTCTTCCTGTGGCTGCATCAAGGCTGAG